ATGCCTCGCACATGCGGGGCAACTGCTCTCTCCCTTCTTAAGCCCTAGATGCCGAAAGCCCACCCGGCCCTCCCCCATCTTTGGCAACCATGTGAGTCTATGCCGCTACACTCCAAGCTTCCGTGGAGCCATAACTTCTCAAAGAACGCCCCCTTTTCCAGAACCAACCTCCCTAAGATGACTCTTTCCGGGATCATCTTCTATCCCTTGGGCTTCCATGCCGCGCACCACGGGTGCGCCATTCCAAGTCTAAACTTCATGTGGGGCGAGGGGCTTCCCAGAATCCATGCACCTAAATGTGTTGTGATAGGGACCTTGACCTTCCATTTTGGGATTATTCCAGTCAAGAATATGATGAGCCATTCTGTGGCAAGAATCTGTGTTTACTATTTTTGGGCAGCCCTTGGTGGGGTTGCGGCAATTGTGATGATTAAGATTCCCCACTAGCTAAAGTCGTGGTTGTCCGTGTTGGGGAAGCCGTTGGGGGAGCCTTGATGTTTGGAACCTCAGTTCTTGCTGTCTGCGATTGCTCCTAGTTCCTTCGGCTGGCACACGGTCTCTCCGAAGCGAGTCCCGAAATGATTTTTTTGTGAACAGGTACGATGTGGAGATGAAGCGTTTTGGCCTGTACCTTCTCGCTTGGCACTGAGAAGGGAAGCTGCTGTGCACCCACGCTTAGTCGGGCATTGGGGAATGGATCCCTACAATAGACCCTATACCATTCCTGTTCAATCTCCATACTCCATTCCTCTTTTCCCTAAGCGCCAGGTAGATGATGGTGAGCGTCTCACTTGTTACCCCGGCCACATATTTGTCTCCTACGCATTGAAGTAGCTCTGTAGCAATCTGGAGGCAGACGACGCTCTAGCTTATGTGCTCTGCTCCAAATTTTGGATCTAGTTTCGTATAGAGAGGACCTTCATATCTTGTTGGGCACGTGGCGGGGCTGAGAAATTGAGGCCTCTATAGTTCTCCGCCTCTTCGTGATCTGCTTCGACATGGCCTACATCCCCATGTGCGATGCGTGCCCAGAAGCTGTACAAGCTTGGGAGTAGGAGTTTCGGAGAGGAATTTTCAAGAGGAGCCTGACTGAATCTTGCATGAGCTTCCTCCAAACCGTTGCATTTTAGGCTTGGGTTTCCAACTGTCCAGCAGTCATCTTGGTTGCAGCTGCAATCGTCAACGTGAGGTAAGGGGACAGCCCTTCTCCATATCTGCTCATGCCAGTGTGCTTGCTTCTGAGCCATTCTACTCCACACCCAGTCTGCGATTCTGGTGACACCGAAGGGTACAGGAGAAATCTACATGCCGAAGTTTGTCTGGTTTGTCTATTGAGTCTATTGCTTCCACAGGCCCAAGAACGCAGAGGAAGTGGCGACTTATCATGATAGTAGCCAAGACTATGCCGATGCACTCCCAAATACTTCAAACAGAGAACAGCGCAAGAGGCTTGCCAAGAGGAGTACCCATGCCGCACTGTCTCAGACTCGCGTTTTTTCTGTCTGGAGTTCAGAAATCACCCCAAGCCCAGACCTGAGAAGACAATGTTGAAAAGGCATCTACCCTCCCCCAAACAAACCTGAAACCCCATGAAAGATATCCTTCTTCTACATGGAGTCAACCCAAGTCACGAGCTCATCACCACGTATCATGCAACAATCATGAAGGCGCAGACCTCGGGAAAAGAAGTTTATTAACAAGGTCTGGAGGTGTCCTTCTTGTAAGTGGATTGCATGCAGCGACGGAAGTGCAGGCGTGAATCTCCATCCTAAGCTCTAGAAAGCGCAGGACCCTGAAGTCGTAAGCGGCTAAACCCTAAAACTCTAAACCGCCAAGGCCCTGACCCTGAACCCAAAGGCCCCCAAATACCGAAGACCAGAGTCAGCCCAGCTCTTGTACTCCGTGATGCCCCTAAGCCCTCAGCTCCATCCGGGGGGTGCAGAAAATGCAGCATCCTTTCTGGCGGAGATCATTCCCAGGAGGATAGTCCAAAAGGAGAACAGTATTTCTGGAAATGCCTCTGATGTCGATTGTAGGTTTTGCATAGTTAGCACCATGCTTTGAACCAACATTCTAAACTCTAAGCACAGCGACACCGCATCGAGCAATGGCTAAGCCTCATAAGCCCTATCAAGGCCTAGATCCAAACTAGCAGCAATGGGACGATGGCACGGCAATGGCGCGCTTCTTGCTGCTCCCTCCCGTTGCGTTTGCGGCGATGTTGCCAGAAGGTCCCATGATTTGCAAGGTCAACCCCTGCAATCCAAAACCCAGTTGAGGAACGCTCTAGCGTGACTCAGGGTTCCACGGTTTACGATTGACAGTGGAAGCCTGGCAAATGCCATGCAACCCAATAGGCGGGAGTGGGAGTTGGAAGCAAGAAATCTTGGCTCATTGCTACAAGAGTACCCGCCATCCAAAAGACGGAGCCCGCAGCCAGCAATCTGTTTGTATTCATCGCCCCACAAGGGGAATCTTCAGGATCCTTGAATCCCAACCCTAGGTTCTGAAAGCCCAGGAAAGATGACAAGCAAGCATCCTATGTAAGGTGGTGCGTCCTTTGGTTTCATTCTTCTACATTATATCTAGATATGTGGGGGCTGCCAGGCGGGAGCTTTGTAAAGAAGGTCAATGCATCGTCGTAGGACGGAGACCGTGAGCAACAACTGAAACATGATGTCTCTCAAGATGAGAATTCGAATCAGGTGCGCCCAGATGTCCCAGTCACAGAGGCTTCGTTGGCCAGCCGCTCGCCCTGTAAAGTGCAAGGCCCTTCCTCAGCTTTTGCTTGCTGGGGCTTATACGGATCATAACGAGTTCTGCAGCGATGAGTTAGAGACTGAGGCGTGGGTATTTTCGTGCTGTGAGGCGGAGGATCAAGATTTTCGATCGCGTGCAGTACGAGTTGAGAAAGGTCCACTTTCGCTTTGCGTTTTGCGCGTAGCAGGGCACTTCCTATGGGTTCAGGGCCAAGGGTCCCCCTCAGAACTTATGGAATCTATGGAATCTGTAGTGCAAGCTGCAGTCAAGCCCCCGGGCTGACCCCAGAAAACGAGAACGACATTCTAGATTTCTGGGCCGTACCCAGAAGCTGCAAATCCTCAGGCCCCTACATTTCGCTACCTAAAATGGTTTGTTCATTGTCTAGGACCTCATAATTACAGTATTTGCCCACAGAGAGTCGTAGAAAATTGCCTGCGCACCCTAATTATGAGAAAACGCGAGTTTCTTTGTCTAGGTACTATAAGCCACAACTTCCTAATGGCCGTACATTCTAGGTTGCTTGCGGCATTTGACGCTGCGGGTGCAGGCCTGACCGACAGGAATGCATTAGATTTCGACGGGATTATTGGGATACCCATCCCATTGAAGAGTTTGTAAGGGTATTTTTGATAGGCTACCAACGTCAGGGGCGGTGTCAAAATTTTGGGTTTCAACATCTAGGGTTGCCCTCAAGCTCAAAAACGCAAGGTTTTTTGTAAATCCTCGCCTGCATTTTTTTGGGACTGCGGGATTAAGTCTTCTAAGTCTTCTTTCCGAAATTTTCCTATAGGAACCTTCAGAAGTCGAAATGTCAGATATAAAGGGCAGCACGCAATCCTACACCGTGGTTCTCAGGAAGTGATGGCAGAGATAGCTTCACCCATCAAAGCAGGGCAGAACGGATGGGCTAGTTTCCCCAAATGAGTCGGTCCTCGATTGTACTAACAATTTTGGTGTACAGCTGATTAGGCACCTGCAGACAGACGTCCATGTCTAGCATCCTCACTGCGAAAATCTCGCAAGTCATCCCCATATCCCGTACAAAAGCCAGACAGTCCCCAAATTTGGTGACAGACTTGGCTACCGCACTTCGCACCTGGAATCCTGCCGTCGTCGGCAGTGTAGTGGTGGCAGAGGCTGCAAAGGCCAGGCGTGTGGGGTTCAACCTCGTCAGCTTCCTCTTTTGCCTAGCACTGATCCTAAGCATCTAGACCGTCCTTTGTCATGGCAGTGTCTTTGATGACCTTATCCTATGTACCAGAGACCCTAAGTTGTACAGTAGAGCTTTTAGGCTGGCAGGAAAAAAGAGTCTAACAAGGCCCGAGATGAGCACTGTACTTGAGCACCCTGGACTCTAGACCCCTTCGCGCCTTGCGTCCTTGAATCCTTACACGCAGGCTCTGAAAGCTGAGCTGAGTGGCCCACATGCCACATGGACGAGGCGCCAGACGTGTCAGCCAGTTCAGGAGCAACCATAACAGCGCACAAAGCATGCCAGAACGGCCGCCAGCGCCACGACCGCCCGTCGCCGGCACCACCACCGCCACTGTAAAGCTCACCTGCACCGTCACCGTTACCGTGATCATCATCATCATCATCGTCGTCATCATCGTCATCCTCATCATCCTCATCATCATCATCATCTTCTTCGGCATGACCGTCAACGTGATAGATTCAAGTTCTCCTGGCAGTTGCGGTGCGTTTTTTGTGTATGCAGTAGCGGTGAGGGTGGTTGGCAGAATCATAGGCTTGGAGTCGGACATGGTATTGCATAGCCTGGACTCTAGGATGTTTTTTTTTTTTGTCCCTGTTCAGGGCGTGTGTGTCTAGAGCTATGCCTTGGGCTTTTCATCTTCTTGGGCCGCGTTAGTCGGCCTGTCCCTGTAAGAGTGAGGTCCCGAAACCTTTGAAGATTCTAGCCTCAAGATGGGTTCTAACGCCTCAAAAGGAGCATTTAGGCAGTGTCCACGCGAAGGGGGCTCACCATGCCATATAGCCACATGGTATGTCAATAGGCAGGAGTTGAGTGGGACCGAATGTGGATGCTTCAGCCTTTACAAGAATTTGCAAGGTTCTCAGCCTAAGGCCACCCATTCTTTGCTGACTTTAGCGCAAAGATGATCCACAGTCTCAACCCGAGCCGCAAACCCAACACGATATTGCTGGTACATGCCCATACACCACTTGGACGCACGGGTCTAATCTTTCACGTCCTGAATCTCCGAGCTCACGGCAAGGATGTCCCTGACACCAACAGAGGCTTGGCGTTTTGCGTTTAAGGGTTGGGGCTCATACAGTTGGTGGTGGTGAATGCTATAGACTTGCGGCCAGCGGGAATCCCCGTCTCGCATCCCCTATCTAAGATTGAACGACTTCCCATCATTTAGGGCATGGTCTTCTGGTAGCGAATCTTTGGTATGGACCCTTTTCCTGCAATCGACACAAGCTAAAATTACAAACACACACACACACACCACTTGTGGGAAGTTGGGGGCCGAGAGGTTGAGCGCTTGGAGTTTCCAGCCGTAGAGCTTGAGGCTTGGGAAAGAATCTCGCTCTTTGGTATACTTCAGAGGGTTTTCAGTTGCATAGGGCATGCCGCAAGCATGATTATCCTTTGTTTGTGTGGCACGGGTGAATCGGTCAAAGTTTCCTGCCTGATCTTCCGAATGCTTGTAGCTCAAAGTAGCATTGCTTGCACCTTCAGAATACCAGGATCCTTACCATAAGAACACCGCCTTTGATCGCAATTTTGGGCAGGCATGTAGTAATTGTCTCAACAGATTACCTGTGGTGATCAGCAGCCCTATTTGTGTTCAAGATGAGTTCTAACATGGGCCTTGGACCCTAAATGCTATGTAACTGATGCCTCCCTACATGGCCGCACCTAAGTATTAGGGAAGTGGCAGGGAGGGGTGCCTAGAATGGAAAATCAAATAGAAAACAACAAGACATGAAATGGAAAAGAACATGGAGCATGAAATGGAAACCCCTTAGGGTTCAGCGTTTAGTCAACGTATCTTGGATGTGATACCGGTTCTAACAGTCTCGGATGGTTTTGAGCGTTGTTTGCGCAGGCACGGCTGCACCGACAGGCTCGACAGGCCTCTACTGGAATTGATTCCGGTTTTGACTTCAGCTGTTGGGATTCTCTCAAATTCAGGTCTCCTTAGGCGGATCCCAGTGTCATGCTTGAAGCATGTCTTGGAAGACCCCTCAAGATTCAATTGCGTAATTCCACCTCTGACCCATGACGTCAGGATTGCAGCAGAAATCTTCCGAAACTTCGGCCTAGTTGCTTAGGGTTTATAGCGCTCTGCTCTGCTCATGCACATGAGATCCCCATCAGTGTTTTGGTGCTGCTTGCCATGCTTGCCAGTTTTTTGGGAGCCCTCACGTGAATAGTCCGCATCCCCATGCACATTCCCATCCGCATCCCTCTCAGTATTTCTCCAAACTAGGTTCTCCCCATAGCAGCCCCTAAACCTCAAACCCTTAAACCCTGGATTGTACCCGTCTAAGTCTACAGGCGCTAAAAGAAGTGGCGCTTGCGGCGGATGTCGCTGCAGACCCGAACAGGCAGCTTTGGAAACTGAGGATTCTAGGCTTACGGCTTGAAGCTATTTGCCTTGAGTATTGGCTGTTTGGGGTTTTGGTGCTGTGTGGCTGGGCTGGTTGAATCAAGGGAGGAATTAGGAAGTATGAGGGCACGGGCACGGAGCTTGATGCCAACTGAGCAGAGAGGCTTCCCCAGCTCCCCTCTGAGCAGTTGAGAAGACTTCCCGAGTTCTATACCCGAAAGCATAGAATCCCTGATGGTCCCTTTGTTGGTAGCGCTTTCATTCTTGTTGAGCATTCCGTGACAGGCGGGATGTACATATCCCGCGTGAATGCGCGTAGAGTCTCTTTTTCCCATTACTTGCTAAGTGATCTATCATCGCCTTTCTAACTAATTATCGCAGGGAAACTCGCACGAACACAATGCATTGCAATATGATTGGTTCTATCTCATGAAACCATGGCTTCTTTTCGATGTCCTTGTGTGCATTTGGTATTGGATGAAATTCCAAGATACGACCCCAGAAAGACGGTACTCAGACAGTACTCTCTGATCAGCTCTTTAGATCAGCTCATCAGATTTTGCCACCGCGGCTGTCAGGAGCGGCTTATCTCCGGAGGCCAGGAAGACCCTGGCCGACGTCTCATGCATAGGCCGGCATCCTTCCCTGAGACCGGAAGTCCCAGATCCTGAAACCTACGGAAGCCCGTAAACCCGATCTGTAGACTCGTGAACCTGCCATGAAGGACGGAGATTTCGGGCTTTACGTAAGGATATAATCTGATTGGGATTGTGCCTGTTTGGGCCTTTAGATGCAAGTAGTAAAAGTGGAGAGAGTTGGGGATCATGGGAGATCTTAGGAACCCCGTATATCACACCAAACGAGCGCTCCAATGCAAACAACAGTTTTCAAGGCCTGTTTCAGGACTATGAGAGCAGCAGTTTTTGTGCTGCAGGATATACAGCGCAAAGACCCCAGAGCACGCACTACAATATCTTGCCTCCTAGATCCCAGACCCCTCGCTGTACCACGTAAGCGTGGAGCCTAGCTGCGGAGCACAAAGGCCCAAAGCCGTAACCTACATTGCTCCCGCTACTGTATTACCATTAATTACCATTGGTTACTGTTAATTACTATAAATTACTTTAAATTACTATTAACTACCATTAATTACCATTACTGTTAATGACTATAAATTACCATTAAGTACCATTACCATTAATTACTATTACTATTATTGCTTTTATTACCTTATTGAGCTCTTCACAGGCAATGCTGGCCTATCTCAGGATGGCAGGCCGAGGCACTGATGCACGTCTCTGGATTTGAGCCTGGGTGCAGTAGGGTTGGGGGTTTCGGGGTTTGTGGGCCTAGGGCTTGGGGTGTGGGTTTCCCGTCTTTCAGAGGTACTTGTGTCAGTTTTGGGACTTGTTTTGCATCCTCAGAAATGTCGGTAATTTCATACAGAACAAGTAGCACGCCCCCAATAAGAGTGCGGGTGCGGTAGCTTGGGACCAAGAGCTCCGCAAGTAGCTTTCCAACCCGCTTTCAGGTGCTCATCAACGGAATCTCATTTTCGACTTGTGTTTAGTAGGATTCGGTTGTGAGTGCAGAAGCTGTTCTTGCCTGCAAATCTTGGACCTCAAGCACCGGATATGGTGATTTGGCCTGAGCGTTCGGAGTATTGAAATATTCTTTGCTGGCAGTCATGAGCAAAAAGGGGCCACGTTGGGGCTATGTTATAATGGGGTGATCCTACCCGTGGAGCAGTTACTCCAAGCAGTCGGCTTAAAAAGTCCATGTCGAACCTGAGACTGCGTAGTTTGGGGTTGATTCTCTTGCATCTACTTATCTTAGGGGCCCAAATTCTTACCAATATTATGATCTGGGGTACCTCAGATAAACCTCAAAATGCTATTGCGAATGATTTATGCCCATATAGTACATCCTGAGCCCGACCTTTGAGCGAGGCCTGCGCACTGGTCCCCACTTACCAGCCGAGTTCCATCAAGCCATGACCGGGTGGGGAGCTGAGGCTGAGACAGGGTCTCCTTAAGGAGGATACTGGAAAAGGTTTAGGGATAAGGGATTAGGAATCAGGGTTTAGGGATTAGGGATTAGGGTTTAGGAGTCAGGGTTTAGGGACTACAGATTAGGGTTTAGGGATTAGGGTTTAAGAGTTAGGGTTTAGGGATTAGGGTTTAGGGTTTAGGAGGATCCCCCCACCCTGTAATAGTGGTATGGGGACAATGGAAAAGAAAATGGCATCTACTACATTATCATGGGCGAAATAGGGATAACGGGAAAGAAAAAAGAGTCTACTATTCGGGGTTTAGAGTTTAGGTGGACCCCCTACCCTGTAAGGACCCTAATATAATCCTTGCTGTCCCTGAAAGTCACTGTTACAGGGTGGGGGGTCCACCTAAGGTATCCTCCGCGGGATCTGTGTAGGGTTACTGTCATCCACGGGTTCATTGGAGACAAGTACTATGGTGGTTCTTGCTTATTTGAGCAAATTCCTCGGACCGCGGAAAAACCGAAAGTTGGAAGATTGGATACCGGCCCAAGCGCTCCGCTTAGCACCTTCCAACTTTCAGGCGCTCACCATAAGGAGTGCTGCAATTGGGGTGTCTTCATACGGGGCATCCCGGCCTTTTGGTATAGGCTCGGGATTTTGTCCGTGCAGGAGACCGCTGCAGGGTGCAAAGCTGCATGCCCCGAATCCTTGGCCCTGACTGCATGCACCGAAGCTCGTTAGCTTCAAGCCGGGGATCCTGGGACTTGAAAACCTGAACTTCCCAAACTCTCAGCTCTACTGCTTCGTCCCCTTTCGCATGCCATTCTGAAGTTTCAAGTTGGAAAGCCAAGAATCCTTGACTCAAACCCTGAGCCCCTGAGCATTAAACGCTACTCGCTTAAGCCCTCAAACAAATTCTCAACTCCGTCATCCTATCCTCCACACACCTATCTTCCGAGGCCATGCTACAGAAGCCGGCAGGCATCACGCCGTATCTGAAGGGCTTCAGCATTTCTCGAGTGTTTCTTTTGCGTGCTCTGGACTTCACCGTTTACATTTTCAGCAGAGCAGATCCGCAACCTCAGAAATAGCCTAGAATCCACGCATACAGGTTATATTCTTATGAATTTTCCTGTCCCTTTCAAGCACCAGTATAGCAATGTATTGGTTTTGAGGATTGCCAGTGAAGATGCTTTGGCAAGCAACTTTTATGTTCCCGTGCAGCCCTCTCTGGTATCCCCTAGCCCTCAACCCTTCACGCTTCGTGGCCTGCCCAACATTCTCTACCCTCACCCTGGTTGCCTTGCCGCTAGGAATTGCCATGGTTTGGGGTCCACTCTGTGCCAAGAAGGAAAGGCAGACTAAGGCACTTCATCTTTCGGGTTTCTGGGCCTCAGGAGAGACTGGTGGCAGATCCTTCCAAACTGTCAGCACGAGCGCCGTCGTTCTCTACAGTGTCCCGGTGAAGCTAGCGGTCCCATGTTGCCAGTCACTGCACTCATTGCAGCGGAGCCGTGTGGAAAGAATGCAATCCCCAATCCCCGTCTGAGTCCGCTGCATCAGAATATGACATCCATCATTCCTCTGGAGCCTCTTGATATCCAGCCAAAAAGTCCATCATGTTGCGAATCACCTCAGCCTTGAACTCTTCAAATCCTTGCCCTGAAATCCTGAAAGCTGAAGCCGGGCAGGTCACTCTGACACAGCGAAGGATCCTTTGGGCAAATTCGCCAAGAGCATGAACTTGCTCGAAAGCGAGGTCAGGCTTTCAAGGGGAACAGCCCAGCAATATTATAGTTACTATCGGCTTCATAAAGCTTGAAGTGCGGATGATGGCTCCAAGCTGGTTCTTACTTTGGGCCCATAGTTCACAAAGACATTTCTCACGATGTATCTGAGGAGGGAAACCAATCTCTGTACGACTTGTTTGGGAGTGAGGGGCAGTTGTAGCTTTTCAAGGTCTTTCATGCTTGTGGGCCCTGAACAGTGGCACCCGTGCAACACATCACGAAATAGAGCATGGCACTGTGGGGTCTTATTCAACGTGGCTTAACTTGGCTGCTTCATCCTTGAGTGGACCCACGGTTTACGGTGTGCGGTGTAGAGTTTCAAGCAATGGGCTTGCTTGTCAGAACAGGCGCCACCTCACGGACTAATGGCACCGAGTGTTTGTCAGGATTGTTTAAGCCGAGGGCATCTTGTTGGTGGTTTTCTGCAGGGAACAGGAGAAGGGGCTACCTCATGACTTCAAGGCTTTGCGAAGAACTACTACTATGACTACTAGTTTCTACGACGACGACGACGACGAGGAGGAGGAGTACTAGCAGTGCATCGAAACGCTTCCTTGGGCCTCGTGTTCCGGGTGTTGCTGTTGGTGACTCAGATGGCAGGTCTATGGCCCATCTCACCCGAAAATCCTAAACCCCTTAGGCCAACGCATCAGAAGCAGCCCCACAGCCTGAAACACCAATTTTGCAAGCCAGGATTTCAAGCAGTTTGGACTTTTCGGCCCTGCTCCAAATTTGCCTTGCTTGGGCCACAGCAGTTGGGACAACGTGGGGTCTCTAAGAGGCTGTTACTTTCAGGCATGTGGGGTCTCCATTGGAAAGTACATCAAATGAGAAGGAGTCAATGAGACTTTGATTTTGATGCACGCTCTAGTCATGCAACCAACCCAGTGTAGAAAAGATACGTGTGGATTGCAAGTGGACGATGTCACCAACCCCTCATGAGCCTGAAGAGAACATGGTGAGCTGGTAGGACATCTTAAGTAGAAGGACTTACATGGGGGCAGTCACTTGCTGAAAGAGTTGTCTGGCACCCAAAGTGGGGCACTTGTTTGCTATAGCGTGTTGGCGAATCACTCTTTCAAGCATAGGTCCGCAAGCATGAGGTGTGGTTTGAGGAGTGGAAGAGCTGCAGGGTAAATTGTGAGATCGTGGGCAGCAGGCTCGAGGTTTGAGGCTAATTCTGTATGAGAAACGCAGGCCTTGAGGTTCAAGGAAAAACCCGGTTTCAGCCACC